CCCTCCTCGCATATGTAATAAGTCTACATACAAAAGCGATGTATCCATTCATTATTTTGAGAAAAGTCCAATGAATGAGACGTATTGAGCAATGTTGTGCGAGGGAGACTTACACAAAACTCTGCCTTCACCCGCGTTGCCTTGTTGGGGTACTCTGCATCAATGGCGACGGTGTAGTGGTCAAACGAGTTGGCCGGCTCCGTCTTTGATGCGTACGTGACAATGCCGGGGAAGTGTTGCCTGCACAGAAGACCCAGGATGCCGTTGACTAGGCGTGCGCTACCACCCGACACAACCACCCAGTTCCTACACAAGTGATTAAGAAAAAATATTAGTTTTTTTTCATCATATCATATGAAGTAGTGGTGATAACATATAAAGTTACTTACTTTTGCCCTTCGGGGCGAATCACTGGGCGTTGGTGAGGAAGCGGAACCTGTGGGAGGCTTGCAGGACCTCGAAAGTAGACACTCGAAGAGGAGTCGAAGGAAGCGGAACCCGTGCCTGCATCCTTCGACTCATCATCCTCGTGCGGCCCCTCCTCCTCGTCCGTCTGCCGAACTAGCTCCTCGTCCGACTCGTCCACAGGAAGAAGAAGGTCATCGAAATAGGGGAGCCTCATCATGCCCGAGATATGAGTCCACATATGTTGCTCACCATATCCCATAAAACCACCTTCTTCATTGGGCACGAGAGCATCTATCTGATCATGAACCTCGGCCCCAGTCATCATCCGCGGTGCAGGGTTTGTCACTTTGACACCTTTCATAAAGTTCTTGATGTCTTGTCTGAATTGATGGTCAAGAGGTAGGAATTGACGATGTCTGTCGAACGACGAATACTTACCACCCTTCTGCAACCAAATGAACCTCACACCTTCCTTGCATATTGGGCATGGGAACTTCCGTGAACACACCAGGCACAGAATATCCCATACGCTAGGAAGTCATGCAGGGAGTAGTGGTACCAAACGTGCATTTTGAAGGTTGTCTTTGTAGCTCGATCGTATGTCCATACCCCTTCGTCCCAAGCACGGACCAATTCATCAAACACGGGCTCCATGAACACACCCATATTACTCCCTAGGTGCCCAGGAATTATCAATGACAAGAATACGTTGTCGTTGAAAGGAGACATCGGGGGGGAGATTAAGGGGGATAACAAAGATGGGCTAACATGTGTATGGGGCAACCATCATTCCATAAGGATTGAACCCATCTGTTGCCAGCATGACACGTACATTATGAGCCTCATCTGCTTTGTCACGATGTTTGTCATTAAAGCAAATCTAAGCGTCACCATCGGATGGATGTACCATCTTGTCAGGATTGTACCGTTTACCATTTTTCTGCCATGTCATCTGTTTCGCGGATTCCTCGGTCATGTATAGCCGTTGGATCCTCGGTAGGAACAGAAGGTACTGTAGGATTTTCACGGGGATCATAAGTTGCCTCTTATGGCCATCATCAGAGTCTACCTCTAGGTACCTGGAGGATTTACAATTTGGACAGAACTTTGCATGCTCGTGTTCTTTCCTAAATAGGATGCACCCCTTCGGGCAAGCATGTATCTGCTCATACGGCATCTTAAGTGCACGAAGGAGTTTTTGTGACTCGTACATGCTCTTTGGCAGAATGTGGCCCTCCGAAAGCAGGGTGCCAATCACGGCCAACATCTTATCGAAGCCATCTCGACTCAAGTTTAACTCGGACTTCAACCCCATTAAGCGTCCAATGGCATCCAGTTGAGACACCGTTGACCGATACTGAAGGGGTTTCTGTGCCGAGTCCATCCTGTCGTAGAACGCCTGTGCGGCTGCCTCCATCTCCTCCTTCTCACGTCCCTCATCGAACTGTCCTTGCTGAAAGTCATCTAACATGTCTGCTACCCCCGCATCAGCATTAAAAGCCTCCACCCGTGGTCTCACCACCTCCTCTCTCATACGATGGGCTTCACCATGGTGGACCAACCAGGTGTAGTCCAGCGTAAATCCATTCTTCACAAGATGTTTACCCATTTCCACCTTGTTTACCCTTCTCCTATTTCCACATTTGCTACAGGGACACAAAACTAGGCAATGTCCTTTAGCAGCCTTGCCAAATGCACTGTTCAAGAAAGCATCAGTCTTGTTCATCCATTCCGTGGTGTAATCACTCTGACTTCTCTAGCCCGTGTACATCCACTGACGGTCATCCATCCTCTAACATATGTATCAGCGAGTAATGTAACCATCAATTGCATCTACATGGTGTTTCTACTATCTAATAGGTGAGGATAGATCCTAATCCCACTCGTGGATGCGTAGATGAGGTTAGTTTCTATGCTCTACTCCTATCCGAGACAAAATTTTGGCAGCACCTCCCCACTGTTCTCTAGATACACGTCCTGCCAAAGAAGAGTGCGTATCCGGAGAACAACAGGGAGGTGATGCCGAAACTCTGTCTTGGACCGGAGCAGACCATGGAAACTAAGCCATCTATGCATCCGCGGGCTGTCCAAAAAACGTGGACAATCCGAAACAGATACAGTCATAGATATGCAAAGATCTGCATACCTCCAACCGTATCTCTTTCGAACGGGAGACGCCTAACTGGGTTATGCGATCTACGACCATGATATGGAAAGAGGGGTTATACCTAGGGTGGCGGCAGAGTCAGGCTAGCGGGGCCATGGCGGGTCGGTGCAATGGTGAGGTGACGCGGTGCAGGCAGACCGGCACGGCGACGGGAACTCCGACTCGGCTCCGACGGGCTCTTCTCTACAAAAATGAAACAAAATACTGTCATTTAAAAAAAATTCAGCAGAACCTCCCCTGCATGGTGAGGTTTCCAAAACCTGCAAAAAACAATGGCACGATGGCCGACAAGCACATATGTCTCAAGAGAAGCCATGTAGTTTGGATATCAATCCATGCAGAAGAATATATCCAAGTAGTACCACTACTTCTACTACTACATCCACTATTGCTACTACTACTACCGCTAGTTCTACTACTACTACTACCACTATTGCTACTACTACTACCACTAGTTCTACTACTACTACTACTACCACTACTACTACTACTACCACTAGTTCTACTACTACTACCACTACTTCTAATACTACTACTACCACTAGCACTACTACTACAACTAATACTACTACAACTATCACTACCACGAGAACAACAAGAGGGAGGGCATACCTGACGGACGCCGGGGATAGGGGCGGGCGGCGTCGGGGTTGGGGTAGGGGTCGCCGGAGTCAGGAACGGGGTCGGGCATGGGAGGCGTCGGGGCGGGCGGTCCACAGAGCGCAGCCGGGGGCAGGGCCGGCTCCTACTCCTCCTACTCCTCCTCCTCCTCCTCGCCTCCTCCCCCTCCTCCTCCCCTCCTCCACCTGCCGGCGTTGGCGGGCCGGCGTGGGCGAGCTGGCCACGCTCGGCCACACGCGGGCGCGGGGGTGGGGGCTGGCAGGGGCGGGAGCAGGCGATGGCATGCGGCGCGGGGAAGGGTGGCGGCGCGCGGCGTCAACGGTGGCCCGGTGGCTAGAGGGCGCAGGGGCGGCCGCGGGCTCGACGCACAGGGAGGGGAGGGCAGCGCGCTGGCTGGTGAGCGGGCGGGGAGTGTGCGGGGCGAGGCGGGATGGCGGGCCGGCTGGCGCGGGGCGGGGCGGGACGGTGACGCGCGTGTGTGCGTGTGTGGGAGGGAGGGAGGTAACAGTTAAGTGTGGGCCGGTTTGCCGAGTGACAGATCGGGGCACTCGGCAAACGTGTTTTCCTTTTTTTGAAATCTAAACCCTAAACTGCACTGCATCGTATTTTTTTAAAAAAAATACCACTTTGCCGAGTGTCGGGTGGAGAGGCACTCGGCAAACATTTTAAAAAAAATTGGCACACTCTTTGCCGAGTGTACGATGCTTACAAACCAAGACATCTCTATATATGTGGAGATGTCTTGGTTTGTAAGCATCGTACGTGATAACGTGCACCAAACCTTCTCAAATTTTTATCACATCCTCCACATACGATATCATGACATCTCGACAAGTTTCATGATTTTCGGACTTCGTTTGCATTTTATAGAATTTAAAAACAATTCGTCCACAAGTTCGTGGTCATGTTTCGTGAACAAGATGTTCGAAATTTCGGGTCCGTTCCTGGATACGGCCTCACACTACACTCAATACCATGAATATCATTTTTTGAATCATTAAATTCCATTATTCGATGCACGTGCAGTTCAAATTTGCATTTTCCGAAAAAATTCAATTAAATAAAATAAATTAACTAAATATAGCAAACAGTTCAGAAAATGTACCAAATTTCGACATGGAGTACCAAGTACTGTAAGAGGACTACAGAAAAAGTTTGGAGGTCAAAAGTGGGAAAAAAAGTTTGCCGTTATTCTTTGCCGAGTGTCTGGGTCTGGCACTCGGCAAACCTGGACGGATGGCGGCGGCTGTTACCTGACGCCGCTTTTTGCCGAGCGCCAGGGTTTGCCGAGTGCCTGACACTCGGCAAAAAGGGCCTTTGCCTAGTGTCTGGCTTTGCCGAGTGTATATCTTTGCCGAGTGCGGCACTCGGCAAAATAGCTCTTTGCCGAGTGCCCGACTTTTAGCCCTCGGCAAAGGCCCTGTTTCCGTAGTGAATAAATCCCCTTTTGTAATAGTCAGGCAGTTCAGAAAACACCACAATGTCTCACTGTACCTCACACTTCATGAATCATGTGGCAGTCAAAGCAACACCACACCCTGCTGGGCGGCTGCTGCTGCTGCTACATTATCATGACCCACACTACTTGCCTGTCCTTGCAGTTGGAAGGCATATACAGTGCATGAGATACCTGTACAAACCATACAGGTAGCACACAGGTCTGCTGTGATCATCCCTCCACATATATGCTGCCAGCTCTGGATTTGGTTCAGACAACAGTTGTTGCAGTTGAAGTGGTAGGCCGGTAGCACACTAGGCTTTGTGCAAGATCACACACTCCTTAGTCCGTAGTTTGCCAAGAGAGATGGTTCGGCTCTACCATCTATCCCTCCTACTCCTCGCCTGCCTCGCGACGGCTGCCGCCGTGGCTGCCGATCTGCCAGGTGGGAAGAAGGTGACCATCACCATGAGGTACGCGGCAGCGGATCTACCGGGGAAGAAGATCAGGATCTCAGTGCGCTACGCCAACGAGGACCACGGCAGTGACGACCAGTTCTGACTCGACTGCGACGACGATGAGCCGTACGTGTCTCCTCTCCTACCCTCCCCTCCCCTCCCCTCCCCTCCTCACAAGACACATAGACGCATACGAGCTCGAGCTAGTGAGCTTGTTTGCAACGACTCGTCGAGCTAGCGAGCCTGAACCTCCCTTGGTTCCTCACTTCTCTTTCTTCTGATTTGTTTTTCAGCCTCGGTTTGGCTGTGCAATACCTTCTGACCACCCTGGAGAAGCAGCAAGACTATGAGAAGGCGTCTAGATCTGAGGTAACATAGATTCTGGTCGGCCTGTTAAGTTCTTGCTGCCTCTGCCTATGGATTGATTCAGAACACATTGATCAGTTCCAGTGGCGTAGCTAGGGTTTAATGCAAGGGTGGTCCAACTAAATGTAATGAGCCAAATAATAGTGTTCTAAATGCAATATTCATTATATTATAGAACACATATACTGTAGTTTTAACATTGATCCATATTCTATGGTGGTCCAGGGCACAACGTGCCACCAAGCTAGCTCCGCCTATGATCAGTTCGTAACTTGGCCTGCTGGTTCTTTCTCTTTCCCCAGCTCTAGGATATGTTGGAGGGAATCAAGGTGGGGATGGCATGCCCAGTGGCAAAGTGGTATAGGAGATCGAGCTTTTGATCCTTTTCTGAGAAGATTAGGCGCCTTTGGAGTTTCAAGTTTCATGTCCTGTTTCTGTTATCAGCAAGTGCCCAGTAGAAGTGGCAGTTTTTAAACATTTGGTAGGATCTTGTTTGACTGTAGTGGTACTGTGGTGGTGTTTTTCGGCATATCTGTCTATCTTTTAATTTCCTACTCTAGAATATGCTTAGCATTGCACGGAATTTTACGAAGAGAGGAAAGATTGTTAAAACAATATACTTGTTTTAGGGTCGTTTAAACCAGAAAAAAATAACAAACTACTTGTAGCCTATGGAAAATTATAAGGATATAAGAAAGCAACCTACTACACATTGATATCGAGGGATTACATGCATATTATTTAAGGAAAAGAGGCGTGACAAATAATGAAATCCAGCAGATCTCTTTAGTTCAAAAGGAAGTGTATTTAGGCGGTGTTTAGTTGGGCAAAGTTTGTGCAGGCAAACTTTGCATAGTGAAGATTTCCTACTGTAGCATTTCGTTTGTATTTGTGAATTATTGTCCAAACATTGACTAATTAGGCTCAAAAGATTCGTCTCGCGAAGTTAAAGCAAACTGTGCAATTAGTTTTTGATTTTCTCTACATTTAGTACTCCATACATGTACCGCAAATTTGATGTGATAGGGAATCTTCTTTTTGCATAGTGTACTTTTCAGGAGTTTGGAGGAACTAAACAAGGGCTTAAAAAAAAGATACATTTGGCTAAATTTGATTAATGTAGAAGCCAAAAAGAAAAGGGAAAAAATGGAGCATAACTGAAAACAAAAATACAACTGTACAAGCAGTAAAACAATCGATATGCTGCCTGAATGACGCGAAGGGCAAATCTGTTTCAGCCTTGAACTGGCAAGAAACAGCAAGCCACATGCAATCTGCTCAGTTTATCTTGCTTCCGCAGTCAACGGCCAATAAAGCACTGGCACCAATTCTCTTGCATTGGGACAAGTGAGGCCGAGCGGATCCATTGATGGACGACACACTACCAGAATCAGGAATTGACTTGGCGGCCTAAAACCGCCAAGGAATATAGGTTTACCGTCAAGGTAATTGTTCTTGGCGGCCGACCGCCAAGCAAAGCCCGCCAAGCCTAGAGAGCCA